ATATAAATTAATTATAAAAAATTATATTTATTATACTTTTAATTTATATATCTAAGATAAAAATTAGATGAACACCACATTAATTTTAACATGAAAGTTAATGATACAAGGGAAGGAAGTTCGATTTTGTAGGATAGTAGTACCAATTCTTTTCTTTCAAAATAAAATAAATAAAATTGTTAGCAAATTATTTGAGTCAAAGAGGTAACGTCCTAGTGGCAAAAGTCGCTGAAAACCACCTTCAAGTCTTGTGTTCAAAATCTAGGTAGAAAATTTAAGGAAAATTCTCCAAAAGATTTAAACCGTCTAGTTGAAAAGTTTATTGGTTTGTAGTGTTCCAAATGGTTTTATCAATTTTAAATGGTTCAACCACTTTATCTGTTTTAAATGTTGACCAAATCCGTTTGTAATACCGAGTACCAAACCAACTAGTTCAACCAGCCAGTCTGATCTAGTTTTTAAAACAATGCCCAAGGGTTTTAGTCTCCGATTATTTGATTATTGCATTACCAATATATATGACATTCCATGTGCGTGGCGCAACAGTCACTTGCTGCCCTTTGGGGCAGGTCGTGGTTTGCATCCCATGTCTCGAGTTCAATACTCTCTCTACACATTAACACCTCTAACACACTAACACCTCTAACCATTGTCCTTATCAAAATATATATGTATATATTTATGGGATTGCCTATGCACGACCCCCTTCATGTATTTCGTTCTATTTATGAATGATAGTATTTTCTCTTCACCAAATAATAATAATATAATGAAGAGGAACCACCACAAAATAATAGATAGATTTTGGATGAATGAAGAAGCATACAAAATGGATGATTAATAAAAAGTAGTTGAATTCAAGACAAGCTAAAAATGTAGCGTGTGTGTGTATATATATATACACTAAAATTATTGAACATAATGGAATAAACTACGATGACAGACACAACAAATAAATACTTTCGTAACATACAGAGACCATAAGCCGCCCGGACGAGACAGGAATATGCAGCAAAGCTAAGCCAAGCATCACAAGTCCAGGCCTTCCTTATTGGATCTTTTCTCAACAGCCAATTGAAAGTACGAGCAGGATTTCGCGAATTGCACATCATGATGCTCTTTTCAATCACAAAAAGTAAGGAACACCAGTCCTGGGTCCCCTCATCTGATTGTTCTCCTCCGTTTCGGTGAAGAACTTCACTTCTCTCTCCTGAAGAAATGCCAAGGAAAACAAGCACCATATGATTAACATCATTGTACCAATATATATATATATATGATTTAACATCATTATGTTGACCAAGACTGGATTAGGAAAGCCCTACTACAAAAAACCTTAAGATGCAACCATCTTGCTAGGGCAAGCATAGTGCAAAGTGCCATTTCTAATCAGTGCTGCACAATTTGTGCACTCTAATTGTCATTTAATCTTATAGGGAATAAATGTTATTAGAAATAAAGACGGAAAAAACTCAGTAAAAATAAGGGTAAATAACCAAAGAGAAAGAAAAAATGAAGCTGTTAGAAAAAAAAAAAAAAAGAACCATAGACAGATAAATACACAAAGTTAACGCCCTAGAGAATGTCACAAACAAGCTGCCACTCATCTCTCTTGTGGTAATAAACAGAATCAAACTAGTCAGTTTTCAGATCCAAGATGGAAGAGTTCAGGTGATGGGTTTAGAACCCAAGAAGTAAGCTTACTGACATCATTGGCTGAGTAAATATTGAAATTTGAAATATTGGTAGCAAATTTTAAATGACTCCACCAGATAAAAAGTTGTACAAAATCTCAAACTACCTTCAGAATCATTTCAATCAAATTTCTTAACTTCCTTGCACAGTTGGCAAACTTCTAATCACAGATTGGAGGTAAAAACACATAAGAAAATAAGCATGCTCATTATGATACAAGTTACAGACATAAGAAATATGGATCACATTTTGTTAGAAAATTATTAGACAGGTGGGACTCTACTAATTACTGTGTTATGCTTGGTAAGGCAATTGCTTATTGCAACACACAACCAGAATTACTAGACCTTGAATGGAAAATAAAACACACAAAAGACAGCCAAGATTTACTTAGTTACTGTTTAACAAAAGTTGGCATTGTACAGCAAAAAAAAGGTATAAGAACAAAGATCAGTGGCAGAAACATTTGGGCTGTGGTCTCTTACCATCTCAGCTCCAGCTACAGAAAAAGGACACTACGTCAGACACTCAAGGGATAGGGGGACACTGTTAATGGGAACATATGGTAATAATCATAGCAAATTACAGATGGCATACAATTCCAGTCACTTCTACAGATTATCATAATTGTTTGAGAAAAAGAGAAAAAAATAGCATGTAGAAATAATATTCACCATATTCTCATTGAAGCTCAAAATAGAAGCCACATTCCCACAGCGGTAACAGTAATTTGGTGCAGACCATACCTAAAAATATCAAGAACAAGAAATTCCATTAAATTGTTACAATGTTGAACAAAAATATTTATAAAGTAAAGCATGGGATCTCACAGTTACTAGGCCTTTGTCTTGAAACATATACTTGAGACCTTCTTGCACAAGTTGGTGCGCTCGACAAACTAGATCAAGATTATTTATGTGGTTGAACTGCAAAAGGTAAAATAAAAAAAATGAATAACAGTATCTCAGCATGAAAGCACTGATAATGGCAGATCAAATTACCTCAGATGTGACCCTAGATCCAAATAGCCAACCTGCTCCACGTGGACTGACTGCCCATGTTTCAATATCTTCAGGATCACTCCACATTAAATCACAGAATGGCCCTTCATGTGGAATTTCACAGTTCCTCTCAATTACCCTTATCTGATGAAGGAGTGTATAGCACATCAAATCAAAGCATGGAAAACTAAGAAAAGAATCCATGAAGGACATGGACACATGATACTGATGACAGTTTGTAAGCTTTTAAATATTTAGAATACTGGAGGGCATATTATTGAAGCATTTCAACCACAATTCTCTAAGTTACACTGTCAGGGTCATTTCCCCTACATTAATTAACATTTAGTATTTTCTTAAAGAAAAATCAACTTCTGTAGATCAACAGACATTGAAATGAGGGGAAGATAGGTTCAAAATTTTCTTGCATCATGCAATGTCACATTTTTAGTTGATCATAAATTATGATCTTAGACCCTTTGTGCTAATCATAGCCTATATCCAAGCCTGTTCAGCAACTCACAAATGTGCCCTAGTTTCAACATTTCCTGTTAAGGAATCTTTGGCTCAAGCCTTATGAGTTGCAACAGACATACAAAGAAAATGCAAATAAAATAAAAGGCAGAAAATACAAGGCATATTGAAGCAATGGCATGACCATTAAGGCAGCAAAGACATGGCAAGTCAAAGAGCAGCTAATCAAAGTGGAACAATAAGATCAAACCTGATCAACCGTCCGTATGTCAGGAGAAAGACCACCATGTACGCAAAGCACCTGCAAAGTAAACATGCTGAAGCTGTTTAAGACGTGCAAATATTGCATTTAGAAATAGGAGGTGAAACCTGAGAGAGACTTACAGTCCCATCTATAATAGCTGAAAGTGTTAGATAGTCAAAAACATCTGTACAATATCGCCATGCATTAGCATTTCCATACTTCCTCTGGCATTCATCATAGAAGCCATAAACCTAAAATAGAAAGATACATGTTAGGAAAAATATAATGTGTTATTATAATATGTAAACTACAAAACATGAAATTTTCAAAAAAAAAAAAAAAATTGCTTAGTTCCTAAACATTACATAGAAAAAGTTAAAAATTTAATAATTAAAAATTCAGAGAACAATCAAAACCGAAAAGAAAAGAATTTTAAGCCACACCCATATGCCAAACTTCTTTTCGCATTAAAAAATCCTATAATATAAAAGATTCATGAGTGACTCTGGAAAAGAAGTTAAGAGAACTGAAAGAGTCAAAAAAATTGTCATTCACACGTGTGCAAAGAGCCTGAATAAAACCAAGCCTTTGTTTTCCATCCTATGTTAACTAGGCATTGAGCGACTACCCTAAACGAGTCATCCATGTCTTCATATCTGATTAACTTATGAAATTAGCATCATTGAATGGGATGACAGATTCTCATTCCAAAATTTCAAATCTTAATATCAATCAAATCACACCTTGAGGTATACTGAAACCTTTAGTTCTCTAAGAGGTTTATCTCAAACATTTGCAACATAAATGTGAAGATGTTTCAAAAACCAAACATGGGTTACTTGACACAAAAGTTTTAAACATGTAGGCTCTGTTTGGTAGATCAGCCAAATCAAACACAACTGAAATTTTTTATATATATAATCAATTTATCAGAAGTCAATATTTTTTATAAAAGAAAAAGAGGGTTGGCATTCCAGTTTATTTTGGAATAAAATTCATGCTAGAAAAATTTCAAAGAAATTGAAACTTTTAAAATAGTAAGGCCTTGTTTAGCATGGTTATTGTTTTGGATTTTAGTTTTGGTTTTCATACATTTTGCAACTCTATATAAAAAACTTGTTTGGTTTCAAGTTTATTTGTCAAAATATTATTATGATTAGTAAAAAAATAGGAACAAAAATAGTTTTAATATTACTAAACAAGTTTTAAAAACAAGTTTATAGTTCTAGTTGTTAGCGCTAAAACTTGTTTTAAACAAATTATCAATTTTTGGATTTTAGTTTTGGTTTTCAACACTTGCAAAATTTATGAAAATTAAACCAAAAACCAAAAATCACAACCATACTAAACGGAGCCTAAATAATTCAAAAAGTTCTCCAGCTAGTAACAAGCTTAAATCAAACTTAAAACTTCCTAATCTAACATGCAACCCTAGACTAATGAAAATGATGCAAACAAATAGAAGCTCAAAAAAGTTGAGGATATTAAATTACAGATGGTAAGTAGATTGCAAACATGATTAACAAGAGTAAACCTATTCTTGCACTCTGTTCTATTATTTTCATATTTGGTTCACAAAGAGATGATGAAGGAAAGCATAACTCATTAAGGTCGGAAGGCATTAACCATAAAACATTATAATTATTGAATTGAATGACAGTCCAATTTTCTGCAGAATAACTTGAACACCTTCTTGCACAACATATTGCATCATCACTTTGGATAAAAAGCAAGTTCAAGTAATGTCTAGAACATCAATATTTGTAGCATTTAAACAATAAAGATCTTAACAAAAAGCAGTAGGGTATCAACAAGGCAAAATCAGTTTGCTTGACAAATAAAATTAATTTTGCTCCCAAATTTGACTATCATAATAGCACATATAATACAATTCATTATAAACATTGCATCTTCATCTAATTTAAAAGCATACTTGCGTGAGTTGCCTGCTTTCATGGTTTCCACGCAAGAGAGTAATGTTGGCTGGATACCTACAAGCAGAATATAGAAAACCAAAAAGATATGATCTTAGCTTTTCCAAAGAAGACATGATATTTTACTTATTAGGCCTTAAAATAGCAGATATAAACAATGCATAGAAGATCTCAAGTTATCAAGCTGCTAAAAGTACCAAGATCACTAATATAGGATCTTAAGGTCCATGGTGTTGGCGTGACTTCTATAGTAAGAAGAATATTGTTGCTAAAGGATGATGCATAATTGTAAAATAGTATTATGACATATTCTGGTGCAGGTGCGTTTGATGGTAACAAAAAAAAAAAAAAAGGGGGGGCAAAAAATCAAGAATAAAACACTAACTTTAGAGCAGATTCTTACAACTAACTAGAAAATTCATCAAATAGACATACCTAGCTTTCAGAAGCAAAAGAATAGTGAAAACTTCAAGACTATTGTATCCTCGATCAACAAAATCCCCCTGTCCAAGTATGTTGGTAGTCTAAACACCAAGCTAGTGGTATTGAAACAACTAGAATATATCAAGACATATTTCAACCAGGAGATATAAACTATACCATAAATATGTAATTTGTCTCTGGTACATGACCCCCTGTCTGAAAAAGTTTCATCAGATCATGAAACTGACCATGAATATCACCACAGACTGTGACTGGACTGTTGACTGGCTGCACATTGGACTCCTCAATTAGGACCTCTTTTACCTGTAAAATTTGGGTAAATGAAAACATAAGAAAAGAGAACCACAAGCACGTACAATAACATTCTAATGATTTGCCATCATACAAGATATTTGGCATCTATTCTTTCATATGAAAGACTCTACTGGCATAAAGAATATATATATATATATATATGCAAACTTCTATTTGGAGAGAGAAAACACCATACATATCACAGCCAAGACAATACGCAAATAGTAACAGGATATGTAATTATACATTTATACACAAGTCAGGGATCTAAATTAAATTTTGAACAAGTATAGTGTAGCATTTAGGAGGTACTAAGTAGAAGTAGATGGATTCAGAAAATAAGCATATACATCCACAAAGCAATGTTTTCACCAATAAGAGCCTGACCCAGTACCCACTTCAAGAACTTGATTCTGGATTTCAGGTAAACACGTTTACTACCCAAAGTAACCATTTAAAAAAGGTAAAAAGGGAGTGGGATTATATAAGCGTTAACACCAATAATAGAGCATTACAAGAACTTAACTCTCTAGTTCTTGATGCTTTCCAAGTGCTATTATTTTCTTCTAAAGCAAATCATGTAATGCAATAAACGCGCTCTTACCCCGTTTGATATAGGTAAAACCAAACAACAATAACCATTTACTATACGAAAAGGAAAACAAAACAGAAGAAAAGGAAAGCAAACTAAAACACACACGCAATTAGAAAAAAAAAAACAAAAAAACAAAACCGAGTAGAAATCGTACATGGTTGATTTCTCCTAATTCCTCTTCCCCAAACACAAAGAAACCCGAGCTACACCAATCAAGATGAACGATTCACATGGCAAAAATAAACTCAAAAGAAAAAAAAAAAGAAGAACCAGGAGAAGGGGTACGTATTCGCAGAGAAGCTGAAGCTCGTCCTCCAAAAGATGCTGGCCTTCTTTAACCTTTGCTATCCACTGATCCAAATCCATTGATTCTCCTTTGAAAAACGAAGGAATTCTTTGTTCCGGTGTCGATGGTATCTGGTTACTTTTTGAATCTGAACTGTCTAGGGTTTTAACCAGAAGAGACAGCGATGGACTCTCTCTCTCCCGTCGAAGCGTTTAACAAGGAACGCATCCAATTTACAAACGTGTCCTTCCAGGTTGTGGCAATTATTTTATTTTATATGATTAAAGTCATTAAAAATCCATTTTATACCGAACGGTCCGCTTTAGTTCGGTGATATTGGAATTTGAGTTAGAGCCGTCCTCACCCTCATAAATTACTTGTTCGAGTCTCAATATGTTAAAAAAAAAAAAAGGTTTGCACTTGGTCCATTTGGTCCATTCGTGGTCCATTCGGATCCAGTGACGTCAAGTCAAATATAAATGTATTTTTTCATTTTTAAGGTAATGGTTCGATTTCGACCTCTTGTGAATTTGTTCAAAAAATAAAATAAAATATTTTATTTTATACCTGGAAATAAAATTATTATAATAATAACAAAATTTTGCTTAAAATTTTTAAATAAATACTTAATATAAATTTAATAGAAAAGATCCTCAATAGGTAAGCCTATGGAGTGTTGTAGCTATTAAAGAGTATTCAAATAAGTAATATTATAATTATAATCTTATATAATATTAAATAAAATATAATATAGTATTAAATAAATATATATAATATTACGAATAAATTTTTTAATAAAAAAACAAATTATATAAACATATATCATATTATAAGATTATAATGTTGTATTATATTCTAATTATAGCATTTTTCCATTCAAATTAAATCTAATCTAAAGATATATTAAAATATTACTCAAAAAATCCTTTTATATTCACAATATGTGTTCATATTTATATATACCCATTCACACTTATGAACTAAATAATTTTTCCTTTAAAATCCTGAATTGACCCAAACTAAATTAGAACTAGTACAAACAATCCTTTTCACATTGCATTTAACTATTTTTTATTCAATTCAATTATTATTATATTACTCATTTCTTAAATTTAAAAATTTTAAAATATATATTAAAGCAAAACCAAAAACTGTCTTTTGCATTCACATTATTTTAACAGTATATATTTACACCTATTCACATTTACAAACTAAGCAAATCATGCAAAATACCCCTTAAACTTGATTATTAGTGGCAAATTAACCCCTAAATCAAATTCAGAAGCATACCACCCCTTATACTCTTCAACAATGTCAAATGAGCCCTTGTTTGATGGTTGACACATTGTTCTGTAAAAAAAACTAATGGAGCCTTCGTTTTGTGGGTTTTAGAGTTGGGCTAGCAATTGCATGGCAAGTGGGATCACTTCAAAATAAATAAAAAAGTAAAAGTATAATATACTTTCTAAATTAAATTACACATTATTCTAAATTTACAAAATGTACCACCTTAGTATTTTCTTTTTGTTTGGGGGAGTTGGTGATGTAGATGGATGAGTCAACAGTGATGATGACGCGGAAGCTGACTAGGATACCACCTGAGAAAATGGGGGTTTCTTTCGGCAGCACCCGTATCACATACAAGAGGCTACGTGCTACGAGCCATCCCATTCTGTTGGGTGATGATATCTTGCAATGCACTTTCTAGCAAAAGCTTTTAAAAAAATGAATCCTTCGACCAAGCCGATAGAGTTGGGTAACAATGGTGGGACTCCGGGGGTTCAAGATAACTACACAACTACCAAAAACATGACGAGGAGAAGTTGTGCATTGTTAAGGAAGGACAGTAGAGGTGTGAAATACATATGGTTTGAAATCACAACTTGAGAATCACACTTATACATAAATCATTATAACATAATAATAATGACAGTAAAGGTGACCTCTTTCATCCCTACTGTAGATTTTTACTTTATAACGAATGATCCTCATGTTGAAAATGGAGAGTACAACGACTACAATCTTGAGGTTCTTCTAAGGACAAAAAAGATAAACTTGAGAGTGGTGGTGGGAGAAAGGAGGATGAACGCTTGGGAGCTTACTAATGGAACACTTGATCCCGTTTTTTATGCTAACCTTGTGACCTTGGTCATCTGATGCTCAAGAAGGACTACTAGAAAGTTGAAACTACAGCATGTTGTTCGACTACCATAATATCCTGCAAATCTGTAAGTATTCTACAGTGTTGGACGATATTCTATAGTGCAGGAAAACATTTTGTGGAGCTGGAAAATACTTTCTAGAGCTGGAAAAGACTGCAAAATCGAAGACTTTGGAAACCCAAGAGAAATGGTGGCTTATGGGTGATTCTTTCGTGTAGAGTGGTGGGTTGAAGATGGGATCTCTTTTTCTATGGAAGAGAAAATGAGAGTTTTGGTGTGCAAGTCTATTGTTGTGCTGCATGCGTCTTTCTTTTTCTGTGTCTAGGTGTTCTTGAAAATGAAGAGTCGATAATTTATATATATATGCAGTGGTATTATTATAATTTTTGGTTGATAGCTTAGAGGTGTGTAAAAAGGTTGGGGTGAGTTGTCGAATTTTGGGTGGTTTCAGACACTGTTGGCAGCTTTGTGACAATGGCATTATGAATTGCCCAATGGTCCCAACGAAGTTTTGCTGGTTTTGGCGAAGAAACTAAAAATTGTATATTTTTGGCAATGTCCCCAGCCATACAAAATCCCATCTTTGAAGAGGTGCTTGAGTGCAATCGGCAAAAACAACATTTGCACAGGATTTGGTGAGTTTCTCAGGTTTTGCGCATGATTTTAGAAGATTCTTCCAGCAGATAATAATCTTTTATAGCAATTTTTAAGGCCATGGAACTTGTGTAGCCACCCTTGCATTAAATACGGCTGCAAGTGGCTGATGGTGACCAAGACAGCACCTCTGGTTAGCTTCTGGCTGGATTTCCAGTCTTTGGTTAACATCTAATTGCACTGTTCCGAGAATCAAGTTCATTTCTATACTTATGCCACCCAGCTTCTTTCTAGCGAAGTCGGACAGCACCACCAGCACCAAGCTTCATTGGTGCAAATGCCTTGCTTCGTCAAACAGGCAATGCTCGTCCACCCATGTTGGCCAAGCCACTACTCCCATAATTTATCTTGAATAATCCCCATGAGCTTGGATTCATGGACTTGTGTTTATCTGCAACAACAACAAGGTATATGTGAATGTGCGTTCTATATTTAAGAATAAAAAACGCATGGGCATATGCAGCGAAGAAGGAAACTCCCTCATGTGTTGAAGGGGACTATGTGAATGAATATTTGCTACTCTGGCCATGGCCGGCATCGGTACATTGCTGTTGTGCATGGCTAGCATTGCATCAAAATAAGGAATGAGTGGTATGGGTGTGCACCGTGATATCATTGACCCGAGCCAAGCTTCACTAGCCGACGATATCTGTTGACACGTAAAATATAGAAAATATGTGTTATGAGTCGAAATTACCAATGGTCAGTAATTTTGTCCCTTTGTATAGAAGAGTGACTGCGTGCATGACCTCTGGCCATATTATGTATGTATTGCGGAGTCAGCCATGCATAGCTTCCCCATAGCCAGAGGGACAACAGTGGCTAGCTTGGCCCATGGTTGGAGCATGAATTATGTGGAATCGAAAGAGTACCCCAACTAATTCGCCAAGTTATGAAGGGATAACTCTTGTTAGACCAGACTCCGCCATAGTGATGAATATTTATAGAGAATGGTGGAGTTGTCTCCATGAAAGGGGGATGCCAACCACATCCATGGCCTCCGATACAATAAGGTGTGATACCACTAACAAATACTAGCCCTTGTTGCTGTACTCACACCGTCAAATGGTGATCTTGGTTGTTGTTACCCATTGGGCACCACATCACCATGCACGGGCGACCACCAAGGGATCGTTAGCTGCTATTGGATGGATTTTTATTGCTGGAGGGTAGCCATCCCATCCAATTGTAGGGTTGCAACTGTTATCAGCCTCACATTAATCGTACCAAGTTGCGTTGGCTCTTTGTTTGTTTCCGAGAGCCAGTGAAATAGAATATGTAGAAATCCAATCCTTTATCCGTTGCTGGGAGCCGGTGAAATGAAGATATATATAAAATTCTATAACTTTTTGCCCGTTGCTAAAGGTTAAATGAGATAGTACATCTAACCTTTGTCCATCGCTGGGAGTTGTGTAGATATAATAAGATCAGCTCGTAGTCCATTGATGGGAGCCATACAACAAAATAGACTCTTTATCCATTGTTGGGAGCCAAAATATGTAGCAGCAAACATCGTTGCAAGGCACGTGACCGTAAAAAACACCCATGTTGTGCAGATAATGTGGTTGTGTCTGGCCATGTGTAAGGGAATGCTGTTGAAGTAGAACATGTTTGTATCATTCTCAGCAAAGTGGGTAAATGCTACTCTTGGCAATGTACAAGAGAATAATGTTGGGAACTGCTGATGGCAATGTTGACTCCTTTACAGCAATTAATAAAAAATAGGAATTGCACATCCAATATGGAAGTGAGTGTTGTGGGCTTTTACTGATGTGGATCCGTACACGTTATTGGTGATGTAATCATATAAACTCATCCCTCAACACTTTTTATCAATTACTATTAGAATGTTTGGCAGTTTCCACAAACTTAAATACTAATCCTATTTTAAGTAATTTTAAATACCCTTAATTAGTTTGATATATTTAAAATTTTTTAATTTTTTAAGTGTTAGTATTAAGACTTAAATTGTAAATTTAGCTTATAAAAAACACTTATTCATTAATAAATTCAACTTTTAATGTTTTTAATATTTATTATTTATTTAATTCAAATTTTGTTAAAAAGAATCCTATTAGAACAACTAATCAATCTGGCATTGAGCAGCAAAAAAAAAAAATAATAATAATAACAGTAGAACTATCAAGAAAAATTAGATTAAAAATGTATAGATATATTTATTACTTAGGTATATTAACCACAGAATCATAAAAAAAAAAAAATTGACTTAATTTATCTTAAATATAAATGATTTCTCCTTTTATACTTAGTCTAATCTTAGAGCCAAAGTAATACAAAGAAAAAAAATTAAACACATAATTTTAATCCAAAGTAATCAATGAATCATCAATGATAAACTCCAAATCCCATATACAACATAAAATTCACCTTTCCTCTATAACTCTATATTTGGATAAATAAAATTAAGTATGAATGACAAATAATGAAAAACAAATAATAAAAAAAATAAAGAACAATTTCTGGACACAAAATGAAGAATAAAGATAGAAAATTAAGTTTGAATTTAATTTATTCCTCACAATCCACACAAATAAAGAGAAATACCAAAAACAAGTTGTAATTTTTTTACTGAAAATTTGTAAAATACTTTAATTATTTGTGATAGATATAAAAAAAACAAGAAAAAAGAAAAAGGTTTTGGCTTTGCATGAACACAAGCACTTAGAATTCTTACTTTTAAATTGTTGTTTCATAAAATGTTTTAATATTAATAGGTTTGATGACGTAGGACCCATGTTGTTTCCAATTTAGTAGGCACTTGAGTGAAACAAGAGCACCGTTAGTTATTTGACGGAACGATGGGGTCAACCTTCAAACAAGGGGTTATTTGCCACTGTGAAAGAGTATAAGGGGGGGTATGTTTCTCAATTTGATTTAGGAGCTAATCTACCACTAATAGTCAAGTTCAAGGGGTTTTTTTCATGATTTGACTACAAACTATAATTTTATTCTTTAAAATCTTGAACCCATCCATAGTTGATGGGGCAAAAACCAACATTTAGCCCCTCACCTTACAAAATTGGTAGGTTTTAGCCCCTTACCTTATAATATGATAGTTTTAGCTTTTTATCTTACAAAGTTGGTAAGTTTTAGCCCCTCACCTTACAAGTACCTTATATTATGATATTTTTAATCCCTCATCAATACAAATTAAAGAAAATAGCCTTCACCTAACATCAGGTTATAACGTTCCGTTAGTTATGTTAGTTGACTGTTAACATTCGTTAGCATTCTGTTATAAAAAATATGAAATTTAAATTCAATTTAAATTCAATTTTATTTATTAGTTCCATTAACGAAATGCTAACGGATGCTAACAATCAACTAACAGAATTAACAGTCAGTTAACAAAACTAATAAAACATTATAATCTAATGTTAAATAAGAGTTATTTTCTTCAATTCATACAAATAAGGGGCTAAAAGTGTCATAATATAAGGTGAGGGGCTAAAACCTACCAATTTTGTAAGGTGAGGGGTTAAAACCTACCAACTTTGTAAGGTAAAAGGCTAAAAGTATCAGATTATAAAGTTAAGGGCTAAAACCTACTAATTTTGTAAGATGAAGGGCTAAAAGTTGGTTTTAACCTAGTTGGTGAGAACTAGTTTGAAAAAATTTTCACATTATTTTTTGCTCTTTTTTTTTTTTTTTTAATTCAGGTGACCCAAACTCAATTTCTTCTCCCTCACAAATGAAATCCCATTTCTTCATCATCATTGTTGAAGCTCCTTCCTCACCATGATTGCTAGAGCTCCATCCTCGCTAAAGCCCATCGTTGACGAACCATTTCCATGCTAGAACCCACTGCCACTAGGTGTTTACATGCCACCTCCTTCTCTAGTCCATCATTCACTAGCTTCTCAATCAAGAAGCAAATCGAAACCCAAACCATCTTACCAGAGTAGGAACTAGGAATTAGGAAGTGAGAACAACCTTAAACCCTCCAAAAACCTCCCTAAACTCCCTCAAATTTCTTACACCCAATCCCTCATCCTCTTCAATCCCTTCACCAGAACACAATTTCAACAAGTATCCGAAAATATGTCAATCGATGATGTTTGGACAATGCCACCATCAAAGCCAACAAGAAGCATCTCTGGATACTTTATGCAATAGTGGTTGGCAGGAAGTTCTTGACGCCATCGAAGGCTCACTTCACTATTGTCTGTTGGAGACAAATCTTCACTTAACAGTTCCTAGACTAAAATCCAAAAGCAAAGGCTAGGCATGTCTTTTTATGTTTGGTAATTGAGGAATTGGTGTAAAATCCTAGAATTTCCTTTTGTTATTTTTATTTAGATTCAAAAAAACATGCCCCTTTCTCCAGCACCCAAGAGAGGATGTGAAAAATGTTAATAGTAATGTGATACATTTTACAAGTTAGAGATATTTATGATGGTGAGGATTATCTGGTTTTGGTCACTACTGATTAGCAGAGTGCATTTTATAGGGTTCTTGCTTCTATTCCATTCAAAGGCCAGGTTGATTCGGTAGAATTTGCTAGATCCTTTGTTGAACATGTGAAGATTATCTTTATCTTCTGCATGTGTTTTGGTAGAATCTGTTGGATCCTCTGTTGAAAAGCTTAATAATTTCCTTAATTCTTTTATTTCATAGGTGACACTATCTTATATTAAATGGTTTGTAGTAGTTTGAATTTTTTTTAGAGGTTTAGCTCGAAAATGGTAAATATGTGGTACATGAAAAAATTATTTCTATCTATCAGGTGATTTTTTTTGCTACTTTTTTATTAAATTTGAAATATTTATATTTATTATTGAATTTTCTCTAAATAGCCTATTTATAGTCTACTGCATTCCAATATTTATAATTTGCTGCATTTCCAAAATTTATTGTTTGCTGTAGACCAATAAAACCATTAGTTTACCTATTCTATTATCAAATGCCTCATTTCTATCTTATATTTCCAATACGTTGGAAATTTACATTCATCTGCTAATTTCAAATTCTGCAGACTTTTATTTTCCCAATTCTTCTTCATAATCCATCCAATAAATGTTTGGCATTTGAAGGGTATCCTTTACATGCATATATAATATTATACCAGTCTTTTTTTTTTTTCTAGTATCATAGAAAGCATACAAATCTTAATGGCTAAGACGTTCAATTTTATCAAAGATCTTAATCCTTCTAAAGAGGGGTGGAGGATAAAGGTTAAGTAATTAGGCTTTGGAGGCAAAGAATTTTTGGTAGCTAAGACGGGGTGATAATATTGAACTACTTCTTTTAGATGAAATGGTAAGTATTTTGTGTTTTGAATTTGGCTTTTCATTAAGTATTCTAAAGTTTGTTTTTTAATATCTTTTACTTTTAGCACTTTTACATGTTTTGTCCAAGGGCGATGATTCAAGCAACTCTTAGGGCCTCTTTGCATATTAAGGATGCTTTTACTAAAGTGGACGTTTATAAAATTTCAAATTTTTGTGTTTCTTTGAATGAAGATCCTTTTAAGCCAACCACCAATGCATACAAGATTGTTTTTAATCTTAGGATTGCTTAGAGTTTGGTTAATGATTCCAACATTCCTTATTATGCATTTTCTGTCATTGAACTTGATAAGATTTTGAACCAAACTCAATATTTTGCTTTTTTAGTTGATATATTTATTATAGAATAATTTCATTATATATTTATTGTTTTAATTTATTCAATTGTATTGTTGGTTTTATTTGGTTTGTACATTGAGTGATTTGCTCCTTTGCAAATGTTATTGGGTTGTTGTTAGTGGTACTTGAATGAAAGGAAGTGACAAAAAATGGTTATCCATTAAATATGATTTATTTGAACTTGATGATCTAAAGTATTTTTTAATTTATTAGTTTCCCATTATATTTCTTTCAATTTATTTATTTTTCTTCCTTCTTTCAAACAGTGATAATAAGCTTTGTTACACCCTTTGAGATAATTTTGCTAATAAAGAGTGTTTAGTGATTGACAAAAACCCCAACAAACCTGTAATTTTTGTTATTCAATTTGCAAAGATAAAATCATGGAGAGGTTTTACTCTTTTTTTTTTCAATTATCAATTTTAGTGTTTTTTTTTAAGTTTTACTCCTCTTTATTTGTCATTATGCCTTTCATTCTGTAATTTATATTGTTGTTTTGTTGTTTTAGATTTTATTGGCCCCTATGATTGAAAGGAGCTGGATACGTTGATCCATGTTTCAGAGGGGAGAAGGAAGCACTAGGTTGGCCAGTTCACCTCAAGGTCTGTTTAGCTTTTAGTTTTTTATGATGGGAAGCTTCCATTTGATGAATTTTTTCAACATATAGATGAGATGAGTATGGTTAAGTGGATGAGAAACATCAAGCAATTGATCCAAAACTAATTAGAAATGGGTATGAACAACAAATGCTTTTGGTTATGAAAATTGTTTTCTTTTGAACTTTGGACAATCCAAAGGAGAGATTTGGCAGTAAGGATGTTAGGTGTATGTTGTATTAGATCAAGTAGTAACTAGTAAGTATGCAAGGAGATGTATTAGTACCATTCAAGAATAATTGTCTAAGAAAATTAAATAATGTGTTGAAATCTATCCTTTAATTTTGTGTTTGCATGTGACCTAGCTATTGATGCACCTGGTGGCTTTCTATTTCAATGGTGGTTTATCTTTTGGGGCATATTCATTACTAGGACAAATGAGAAGCACTCTGAAGCTGCTGCATCTTAGATTGAGATCTGTTTGAAGACTAATTACTCTAAAGCTACTACATTCTTTGAATGGTTGTTGGTTCATTTCTTTTCATGAACTCTCAAATTTTCTATGGACTTTCATATGCTTTGCATCTATAGGTGCTTGGCTGATGAGATTGCAATCCTTTTACTTTATTCATTAGTGCAAGGAAACTGTTACTTTTTGGAATATGTTCTTGTGTGAATTGATATGGATACCTTGGTAAGCAATAACTTCTACTATCTGCTAAAAAAAACCATTTTTGTTTGATTGAAGAGTCCTAAGCAACTTCCATGTTGATTTAACAAAGTGCTTTCAAGTTCATTGCATAGATTTTTTTTTTTTTTTTTTTGCAATTTAGGTAGCCTTTTCAAACCAGTTATCCTCTGCAAGTCTAATTAACACATAAATCTTTTAAGCCTTTTCTGCTAAGTCCCAATTAACAATGCTGAATTTTTTTAGGGTTCCTTCCCATATGAACCATTTCCACCACTTGTAGCTTTGCCCCCCATTGAAAGAAATGAAAGTCATGCAACAGTAACTTATGTCAAATTATGATTTGATTTTGCTTTGAGCTTTGTTTTTATGCGGCAATATTGTTTTGCTTACGATATCAGTTCATTTTGCTTTGTTTTTGGCACATAACTCTTTAGCTTAATTTAGTTCATACTTGTCTTCAATAAATTTATCACTTGTGTGGTATTCAATATGGATGTGGCATACTTGCAGCATAGCCTAATACCAACACGTGTTTCCATGATGAAATCAATGATGCCTATTTTGGAACCACTATGTAATGCTTCAAGAGGGACATGTAATCAAATTTACGTGCTATTGATCATGCTTCTCTCATACTTAGTCAAGATACTTCTTTTAATAGGAAAAGGAGGTCGTGAAGAAGTCTACAAAGCTTAATTGTTAGGAAGCAATAGAAAGATGATTGCCATAAAAAAGATTATTCAACCCTCAAAGGAAGCTACTGAGTTGACTGACGAAGATAGCAAGCTTCTGAATAAGAAGATAGGCCAAATCCAATCAACGATTACCATAGTTGGCCAAATTCAACACAAAAATCTTTTTCCTCTTTCGGTTCATGTTGGTTGTCTTGCCAAGATGAATCCCTTGCCAAGTAGGTTGAATTCAACCATTGTTAGTGTCTACTACTCATTCTTTTGTGTTTTGTTTTACCATGTGTTACCAATGTTAACTGGAAAGTTATTTATTGAGGAAGCTTCTGGTTAAGTACTATATTTATATATTTATTACTCTTTTCAAGTTACATGCTTTCAAGAAAGAATGTTTTTTTTTTTTTTTCCCATACATATGACTAAAGCTTTTTACCATTTTGTGTGTTTTAGGTTGTCATTTCCTAGATGAATGGACTAAATCATCAGTCGCACCTTACCCATGTTTTTAATGGGTGAAAAATGAGAATAAAACTCTATAGAGGATGGATCACCAACTCTATAGAAATCTATTCCACATTTATGCAGGCACTATCCTGGATGCTCCATGCTTTTCTTGTATAGGGTCTTTTTCAAGATTAAGGGAATTGAGGGCCTCCCCAATCCCATGGTTAGTTTTGTGCAAATTTTTAAACTTCAATGAACAAGAATTCTTATATTTTATGGTTTCCTCAATATTAGCTATGTGAAGTTAGAGGCGATGGCAATACTACATCAAAGTCATTGTTCTAGTAACCCAAGAAAGGGGCTTTCATATGTATAGACATTTGAATCAAAGCAAGAAAGGAATGCAATCATTATGATTGCAAGAAAATATGCTCTTGATTGCAACATAAGTTCTTTTTCTTTCTTTGCATATTATTGCAATGCTTATACACTATCATCGCTTTCTAAAACTTCCAATATTATTGCAAATATTTGATCTTTCGCATGATCTCTTATTTTTTGCACAAAACATGTATGTATATGGGAAATCAGGAGCTTTGCTTGCTTAGCTCTACACAACTTGATGAGAAGCCTCTATTCCCTTTGCATCCCTTAAGTGATGGTCACAGCTTTTCATCTAAGAAAACTGTTATTTCGAGCATCAAGAAAGGATTCTCTTATGCAATGTATGGGTTTTCAAAGGCGAAACTACCTTCTATTAAATGGTTTGCATTAGATGGAAAATGGAAAATATTTTCTTGAAAATGGAAAATATTTTCTTGAAAATGGAAAATATGTGTTGTAGGGAAAAATGCTTTCTAACTAAGAAGTAAATGTAATGCTATCACCTAGGCCATCTTCGAACTTGGGATTGAAATCGAGTTCTGTGCTTGAAAGCCTTGCATCTCAACCAACAAGAGCAACAAGAGATAGCAATTCAAAATGGTTCTTAAAGGTTAATTTTCTACAACAACAACTTATGCTTTCTACAAGAGTATTCCTGACTAGGAGAGTAATAGATGTAAATGGATTTAGAGATCATTAACAAGTCCAAAAATCCAACACTTTCTATGGCTTCTATGTCACCAAAGACTTGAGTGCTTTGATTTCCTAAATAAGTAAATATGTATGTATTGTTGACATCATAAAGATTGAATTCTCTGAAACTCAGTGATGTATTTTCCTTTTAAGTAATGTTATATCTTAAATTGAGTCTTATGAGATAGGACACATGGAGACATCTTACAAATAGTCCTATCAAGATTAGATAGGTTAAATCTTACTATAATTAGAATATCCAAACACCAATCAAATAAAGTTGTATCCTTAGAATAACTTTATGTAAACATCCTATAAATATCCCAAGAATAAATCTAAGAAGGCAAATTATTCTCTACTTTCTCTCCATCGTAAGTTATCTCTATCAATCAATATCATTCTTGGTTTCACAATTTCTTTCCTATTTTTTAGTGTTCACATTTGGTGCCCACTATGGGGCCAAGTTCATGCCCCTCATGAATACCACATGGAGAATTTAGGAAACTCATCGACACCTCTTAACAGCATCCAAAATTCTGGAAATAACAGAGTAATGAGCACCTCTTCTTCATCAAGAATAAATTCCAACAACGATGCTAGTAAATCTAAACTAGAACCTTTGTCAATAGCATCACTGGTGCAAAGGTTTGTGCAGGATATGGAGGAAACAAGGGAAAGCTTGAAGGCAATTGAAAAGGCCATATCATCCTTCACAAACACAACAAATATTCTGACATAGAATGTGAGGAGACAAGAGAGAATGGAGAGGATTTCGTCATCCAAAAACACAAGGCAGCATCTTAAAGGGGTGGAGGATTTAATGCATGGAAATAGTAAATATGATGATAAAAGTTACACACCTTCAAGACCAATAGACCCAACTATTGATTCATGTCCACAACCCTCCTCTGTCTTCACTAAGTACAAAATCCAGGAAGGAGACAAGCGGACGAACACCTAAACAAACAGAAGGAAAGGTGCGCCACAAAATTATGAGGCAATCCTTGTAATAGCACCACCAAAGGATGAAAACATATATAGGGAGATAGATGCACTGGGTCAATATGTAACACAAATAGAAACCAATCGATAAAGGTATTCAAAAACAACACATAGCTTTAGTAGAAAAGGCTTTCGCTGATGATGTCATTAAGGAACTTGTGCCGTTGAACTTTAAAACTCCCTAATTGGCAGAATATGATGGGACACAAGATCCAATTGAGCACATACAAGGATTTAGAATGGCAATGATGGTTTATGTAGCTTCTAATGCTCTGCTATGCAAACAATTTCTTGCGACCTTTAGGAAAGTAGCGTAGGCTTAGTTCACAACATTACCTGAAAGATCTATTTGGACCTTTGATCAATTTGCAAGGATGTTTATTAATCATTTTACGGCTAGCAAAACTCCTTGAAGAACCAATCATCACTTGTTGACAATCAAACAAAAAATAGACGAATCATTAAGAGTCTATATAGCAAGATTCCATAATGAAGCTATGCAAGTGAAAAAGTTAGACCAAAGCATAGCAATGCACGCTTGGATGGATGGCCTAAAAGATTCAAGCTTCTATAGGTCTCTAAATAAACGAGAACCAACCAATGTTAATTATTTATCAAAAAAAGCAGAAGGGTATATCAAAGCAAAAGAAAGAGCGGCAGTTAAAGAAGCACAACCAAAAATCATCAAAGCATCAGAAGAAACCCAAAAGTGAAAAATAGTAAAAGAAGAGGAGCATGATGGAAAAAGTCCATGAGAGAGAATGCTTTAATCATATAGCAATAGACTATTTATTATTTAAAATTCTCCGCCAAGGATATTTCTAATCAATAATAAAAGTAGATGCGAAGGAATATGCTAAAAGATGTGATAAATTACAGAGGTTTCCACGAACTCAACATCAGCCATCAAATTCTCTACATGTGAAGTTATGGCCAAAACAACAAAAGAGGAAAGTTGAGCCTAAACTAAGAAGGTTTATACCTCTATAAAGAAAATTTGGGGAAACGAAGCCTTCAAGCCCAATCATCCCAATGGAACCTTGATTCTAAGGACCTAAAATGTTGTGTACCTTAAAAGTGAAGATTCATTATACATTGCTAAAAACCACTCCTAAGTGGAACACAACTTTAAGAATAAGAACTTGGTTGCACACATCTTTGCTCACTTCTATACAGCATAAAACTTTGGCATCACTTTTAAGTGATCCAAGCTTTAAACACCAGACATGGTGAAAAGAATAAGAACGTGTGAAACTATAAAGCTATTCTTTCAGCTCTGAAATCTAGATAAGATTAGTTAACTCAAAATTTTGAAAAAAACTAATTAAAATATGCTTAAGTAAACTAAAAACTGCAAGCAAGTTAAGGTGTATATAAGCATTTGAATGAAAGCTATGCAAGTGAGGGTACAAAGGTTAATGCGATTCTCAAATATAGGAGAGACTTTGCAACATAAACCAGTAGTAATCGATTAGGGTATAAAGTTATCTTTTATACAAGAAAATGAATGGCATGATACATACTAACTAATCGTCAAATTATGGATCTTTATTTACAAATGAGGATACCTTCACCAGAAGAAACTATGATGGCTTATAACACTGATTGAAACCTGTGTATAGTTTCAAAAACCATAATTTGGTTATACTCAGTTTAGAATATTAGCAAGCCAATAAACCAACCAAATACATAGGTTCTAGTATAATTTCGGTAAAAAAATCACAATGCCAGTCATGACAAAAAGAGCATTTGTTCAACAACTAGATATTCTTAAAACACAAAACCAATGCACTATAACATCAAAACAGTGCAACTTATATATTTGTATATATATATTTGTATATATATGTAACAAGAGATCCAAATATAACAAAACCAAAATAAAATATCCATAATACACAGAAAAACATCAAAACAGTGCAACTTAAATATTTTTCCAAAAATAAATGTTCTTATATGCAGGTTCAACAAAAGGCAAGAATTTATCAAAAAAAATAATAATAATAAAAGGCCAGAATGACCAGATCTGTCATCCCATGAAGACAAAATCACAGGAACCTCCGTTGGAAGAGGGTCACAAGATTTCTCTCTACATGACGCAAAGCACCCTTCACCACGAACTGGTCGTCACTACTGCAGGGAAATCGGAAAATATCAAAATATTCCGGTTCGGAAAAAGGAATGATCGCTTCAATACTAGCAGAACCAACGGGAAGGGAGCTGGTAGCCGCAGAAGGAGAAGTTACTGGAGCACCATAGACGGCAAAAGGAACTTCAGCGATATTCCTGTTCGGAAGAAAGAACAATCGCTTCAACAATGGCAGAATCCGAGAAACCTCCTTCCATTAAAGTTCAAGGTAATCGTACAGTAAAGGAAGAAGAAAAGACAAAAACAAAGAAAAGAGGAGAGCCAAGAAAAAAGAAGGTGAAAAGACCAGGAGAAACTAATAAATAAAAAAGGGGAGAAGGGGAGAAAACTGCCAAGAGGGAGAAAGTAAAAGGATAAAAGATAAAAAAACAAAGAAAGAAGAAGATTCGAGATCGTCGCCCCCTATCATAAAAAATCTCTCATCAAATCCACAATTCCACAATTCAAAATTTAACATTAAATGCTGAAATCTCACAAGCAAGTATTGCAAATCACTGGTACAAGTTCACAAATAAGAGGCGGACACGTGTCAAAATTTACAAGTGAAAAAGACTACATTAATAAAGAAATTTTTGAAGAAAAAACAACTAAAAGCAAATAAAGAAATCAAGATACCAGCTCAGCATATGAAAGATTGACAAAAAGTATATCAAAAGTTGTGGAAACAACGAAAAACTTTTTTTTTTTTTCCTTAAATTAGTTTTTTATCTCATAAGCTTTTATATTAGTTAAGGTTTTTAATAAAACAACCACAATAGAAAAATCTTTGTCATAAAAATATGAAACCTTTTAAAAGAAAAGATGAAAAAATTAAGCAAAATTTGGAATCAAGCTATTCAATAAGTTTTCGGTACCTTCAAATTTCTGTGATAAGGGGTAAATGATTATACTTTAAATTGAGTTCTATGAAAATTAAGATATGTAAAAACATCTTAAAAATAGTATTATCAAGGTTAAATAGGTTTTATCTTATTAAAATTAAAATACTCAAACACTAATTAAATAGAATTATATTTCTAAAATGATTTTATGTAAATATATTATAAATACTTCAAAAATAAACCTAAAAAAGTAAATTATTTTTTACACTTTCTCCCCATTGTAAGTTCTCTTTATCGATCCATATAATTCTCAGTTCCACAATTTCTTTTTTATTTTTTAATGGTAAAAAAAATTATTATTTAATTATTAACTTTTTATTAATATATTAATATATTAATTATTAAATATTAAAATTAATTTTTTTTTTCCGATTTCACGGGGTATTAACTGGTATAAGAGCTATGAGGCCTCAAATTATAAAATTAATCCTTTAACTTTGTGAAATATTGTGATTTAGTTTCAAATTTATGATTTTTAAAACTTAAATCGTACCCAACACAAATAATGAAAATAATGTATAATCAAATTAAATCAATTAAAATATTTAATAAAATTAAGGTTAAATTAGTATTTTATATATATATATTTTTGTATTAACTTTTCGATATTTACTAATCACATTGAATCTCAACTAATTCGAAATTGAGTCGCGTCGGACTTTATTAAGGGGAAACTCTCTTAACGCCTGTTTTTTCATTCACAACACTCGAAATCGAGATCTTATTTAAAATGAATTGAACTCCTTTTACTCGGATTAACAAGTCGTTGATACAATATATTAATTACAAGAATACAATTAGAAAGAGAGAAAAATTGAGGTGGAAACGAAGAGATATATAATGATAAATAATAATGTTAATAATGACTAAAAAAAAACAATAGAAAAGGAAATATAAGGAGAGAAAGAATAATAAATAATAACTCACTAATTTATAGAGACAAAAAGATGTGTAGGAATGTAAAATAAAAAGATAAATATAAAAACAAAATATTAAGTATTAAACGAAAAGATGAGAAATTTGAAATCAATAGTGTTCCACCGTATTAAAAGAGAGGCTAATAGGTGTGCCCATTTTGTTACTAGTTGTGCTGAGATGTTAGAAGGGGAATAAGTTTTGGTTTGATGGATTACCAGTGTGCCTACATAGTTTTATAGGGACTGAAATATCCTTGCAGCATTTATGATTTAATGCATGCACAATGTTTGTGTTCGATTTATGCATATTATCCTGGTATTAATAATATTCACAGTTGATTATTAAAAAAATAGTGCATCACACCACTAGACTCAAATAACTTTTATTGTTAAAAGTTTATTTTATTTTATTCTAACTTAGTCAATAAAATCAAACCTAATAATTAGTTATTTTATAAAGGTTAAATAGCAATTTAAATTTATAACTTTTACTGTAATTTTGGTTGTCAATACTTCAAGAAAACATTTGTAGGGAGGTCAAAAAAAAAAAAAAAAAAAGAGCAGACACTTGACACCAAACCATTTTTATAAAAAAAGTAACTATAACATTAAATCAAAGTTTATTTAATGTTCAGACATTTGACATTTTGAATCATATCCAAGCATTATGATTTATGATTATACTCATTTTTAATTTTTTTGAGTTTTAACCAGATTTAACCTCACACCAAATTTATATTGTGAATCAAACAATTTCTTTAACGGATCACCGGTCAACCGGTCAAACCAACTGGTCCAATCCAAATTTTAAAACAATGATGACTTAAACAAACAAGCTACCAAAAAATGGAAATAAAAACAATCTTTTAGGAACAAAATGAAGATTTTTTCAGTTTAGGGCCCAATAACGGCCTCCTGTACAAAAGTTCAGAGACTAAAATAGGGTTTGAACCTAAAAGTTACAAACAAACTGTAGAAATTGTGTAGAAAACCTGTACAAAAAGGGAGAGAACAGATAGGGAAAAGAAGATGCATTGCCTGTGCTAAACATTATCCGGCCAGAACTCCCTAAAAAAGGCCCGCTCAAATTCCTTCTCCTTCAAACGCTTTTCTAATTCTTGCATCTTCCGCATCTTTTTAGAAAGTGCTTTGGTTTTCTTTGACAGTGGACATTCCTGAAATTTGCAGAAAAAGCTAAACCATGAGTACGTTCATGTTGTACCAACAATAAAAAAATAGGGTACATACATATATATGTTAAAGGTTTCAACTTGCATTTCAAAAAAATGCAGAAATTAGAAACATATTTTTAATCCCTCTTGCCCCATATTTTATTATGCAACACATGGCATCCTTTTTGCAGCTAGGAATAACAAACATCTGTGGCAATCCATATGGCATGAAACATAGACCAAGTCAGGACATTGAAGTGACGTTTTAAACTTTATGTCCAGTTCATAAGGTGAACTTTTTGTTGTTTTTTCCCTTCTGTGGCATGAAATAAAAGCTTCACAGAATATGTGCTGCCCTCAAGAAATGCAGGTATAGTGCAGTTCAGTTTTTCTTTGACAGTTTTAAGGCTCTGAGGTCTATTTGACAAGAAAATGAACAGAGCAGATTGGTTGGAGAACTTAGTGAACTTAGTCCAATCAAGTTAAAGGGATGGGATGAACGAACCTATTTTCAGATTGACTATCAATAATGATAGAAAAATAAAAGGGCATTGTGCAAGTCTCTATATATTGGTTTTGACAGGGACACAGAATTCAAGAATATGCTTTACCTAGTCTTCCTCTTTCACCCAGGAAGTATATTCACAAAATTTATACTCCTATGGAAGGAAAAATACCATCCTAGCTACTCATTCTCTTCCTCTAAGCATTCTTCTAAGACTTCTTAACCAAACATTGAAGGAACAGTACAGTAGAAAGGAAGAGAAAGGAAGCTGATTTGTTAAATTCCATGTTCTTTCCTTATTCCCCATTGTTTCGCTAATACCCAGACTAAAAGAGATTGTTAATAACAGAACTCTGAACAGATGAGAAAATGAAATGAAATCCAAAAATTTTAAATTATAGTAAATTTTTTTAAAAAATAGTATGTACCTTGTCCCTTTTTTCCTTGGATTCCTTAGCATCAAGAGTCTTTAGTATTTTGTTCTTCTTTTCTACTCCAAGGCCTCGTTTATTGTTCTTCAAGTATGCTTCTACAGGCTCCAATCTACCCTGATCAGAGTAGTAGAATGAAGTTATACACCTCACAAACAATAATGAAATCTAATCACCAAAATGCATTTACTGCTCAAAGAGGAGTGACATTGATAACTGTCTTTTTCAACTATGAATTCTATGTTAGTCCCAAATCATACAATATAATGGCGAAAGAAACCATGAGAAGATCAAGAAAATTAATACCACTTTAATTTGTAATGACAAATTCAAAAACCATCACACATGCAAATTATAGTGGTATGAGAAGAATTATTGAAATTAAGCTGCTGGTTACAGCCATCTGACTGAGGCTTCAATAGAAATTACCAGAAATATATCAAAGGCAACAGTGTAGATGATAAAAGTCAAAAGCAGGGAAGAGAGGATGACAGTATATGATACCGTGATTCAGAGAACTAATGTGTGATTACCAATTTGTGTACAAATTTTCTTTCATTTTATAATGTCACAAGACTATACCATAATGCAACCTTAGCAAACTGGATTTTATCACTCCAAAAACCTCCTAGTACTTCAGTAATACTTAAATTTTGCTCACATTATTGAATACCATACATTATTTTCCAATAATACTTCAATGTATTTGAAATTACATAATCATACAGGGAACTGAGGGAAGTGTAAAGTTAAATGCTAAAAATTACTTCTAATCAAATTCTCTAATAAGTTAATAACCCAACTACCCTTCTAATATCTATCTACATTTAAACTTTTAAGATTTGATGTCCCATAACAGATGCGCAAAACAACTGTTTACATAAAGCAAGATTTTTCAATGGCTTATAATTAATAATATATATCAAACCATCAGATTTGGAAATCAACGGCTAAATTAACTTACGCCGACTCAAAAACACATTGTTATGAACACCAAGAGGATATTATCTCATGAATTATTGGAAAAATAGGATAATCAGTGGAGATGATGAAAGATGAAAAGAACAGTAATATGTTGTACTTGTTTTAAATCTAACAAGGTATGTGGGTTAAAAAGCATACCTGCTCAGAAACCCCAAGACCGGTACCTTCCTTCCATCCGTGCTTTTTCAGGATCTGAGAAAACCCAACCCTAGAATCATTAGAATATTCAGAACTCGAAACGGTAAAAAAAAAAAAAAATACAACACGTTGGAAGAACTTTATAAACAATACGACAAAGAACCCGAACACAATGAGAAGAGATACTCACATTACCTTGAAACCAATGTTGGAGGAGTCAATGGTTGTTCCTGAACTGCTTGAACCCAACGTCTCCTCGCTCATCGCTTTCTCAGAAGAAGTTCGATCCCTTTCGCTATTTGGATTTGGATGCGCGAAGGATAATCGCCGTCTGCAAGACAGATAACCTTCAAAACCAGAAGTAATAATTCATCTAAATTCCTTCTGAAGTAAAGGATGAGGAAGTCGGCAAA